TTATTATGAAGATGATTTCCTCTTAAGTTGTACTATTTATCTGAAGTAATAATTACAAACAATAATATTGTTAATTGATGGAATTTTGATGATTAAGGGTTTCTAATAAATATAATAATGGATTATGATAAAGGTTAGTTTAGTGGAAAAATTAACATAGGAAAAGGTAGGATATAGTATTGCTCTTCATAAATGATTGTTTAGTTTAATGAAAACTAAGAAAAACAACCACGTCCCAGGGAATGGCTTAAGTTCTTTTTGATACTGGAAAATGTGTTCACATGTTTTGGTGTATCTCATAGCTAAACAAAGCTTAAAATAATGATTTCATGCAACTAGAAAACAAAGAAGGGGATAGTTAGTTAAAGTAATTGACCTGAATGCTGAAATACGAAAAGTGAAACTATTAACCTGTTTTTCTGGCATTTATAAGTATTACTGTGCATGTAAACAGTTACGGCTGAGTGGCTCCTGATCTATGAGACATCTAAAGATAAATATTTCACTGTCTGTAGGTTCTTGGGGATAATTTGTTTTTAACATATAATACATAAAATGTTTAATATTTTAAGGGACATTTAAAACAGGGTGTCTTTTCTTTTATTAATCATAATCATTCACTTATAAAATAGAATATAACCAGCTTAACTCAGCTAATGGAAGTCCACCAACTTCAGGATGAGAGCAAGGCCAGCATAGTACCAAACTAGGCACTATGAATGTGGGTGATAGCTGTATGGCTGAGGCAGATGGTAGGGCCACTGGCAGTGAGATCAGGCTTTATCCCGACTGCTTGTTCTGGCTTTTTGTAGCCCATTCTCTTTGGAGGGATTCCTTGCTTAGTTTAGATATGGTAGGCAGGGTCTTGGTCCTGCCTCAAAACAATGTGCTAGACTTTGTTGAGTCCCCATGGGAAGACTTACTCTTTCTGAGGAGTGGATGGTGGGTGGGATGGGGGGAAGTTGAAGGGAAAGAGAGGAGGGGAGGGAGTGGGAGATGGAATTTGTATGTAAAATGAGAAAAGATAGTTTTTTTAAAAAATAATAAAAAATAAATAAACATAATGTAACCACACCATAACTTTTATATTGCTTGAAAGATTCTGCTGCAGCATAGAAGCTGCAAGGGAAAAAGTAAAGACAGAAGGAAAATACCAGGAAAGATGCAGATAGAAGTCAAGATGTAGAAGGAAAACATCAGAAAAAGAAAAGGAAATCATCAGGAAAGAGAAGGAAGAGACACATCGGGGTAGAAGAACAAAATGAAAAAAGAATAGAGTAGAACAAGCAACAAAGAGAATAAAAAGAGTAGCTTTTATCCCTCTGTAAAGGTGTCTGTGTGTTTTTCTTGTTGACTCTGCTTCCTATTACTAGTCTCTCTGTATGGATTTTCTGTTATCGGACATGTTTCTGCATGTGAACAATCAGTGTTCTTTTAAACCTTTTAAGCAAAGATTTCTTTTGGCCTTTGCTGTCTTTATAGCTTGGGCCTGTAACTTGGAGACTTTGGCACAATCTGTTTGCAAATCCACAGAACTCATGTGGGCAGCTTCAACTCTCTTCCTTATTCCATTTATTCCAGGCATCAGCTTGGTTGTATTTTCTTGGGATTTAAACACAGGGGTCACAATCTTTCCTGGGTGTGGAAGGAGCAAGGGCTCCTGATTGATCAGCTTTCTCGTGTCTTTTTTGTAGGACACTCTGTAGTAGGTGCAGTTACTCGTCTTTTCTGTCCTTGTCCACTACTGATGCTTCCTGGGCAACCAGATCATAATTAACTTCCCTTTTGCGGATCAATACACTCTACAGGTGTGACAGGAATATTGTCACAGGGTTCACCTCATTCTCACTAAATAGGGAGTCTACTGCTTCTGAACTCTGATACTGTGAACAGTTTATGGGTGAAGGGCTCAGCTCTTTATTAGCAGTAAGATTGTTTCTAGTTTCAGTGCATGTGCTTTTGATACAGGATTTCCTTCTTGTTGATAAATTCCAGCTAATTTCACCTCAGCTTATATTGAAGTAGAAGTTCTCTTGACTGTTTTGAAATCCAATGCTCACCACTGCAGGAGTCTATTTCTGAATGTATGGATATTTTATTTTAGGGATTAGGATGACATTAGGTTCATTCTGTTTTTTTTTTTGGTTCTGCATTAAGATGCATTTAATGCATTTTAATAGTTCAAACCATTATTTTTCTGCAACATGATGGAGTCACATCATGTGCTAGATACAGATTTTCTTTGTCTTGCTCTTATCTGGAGACTTGGCTTCTTATAGTTTATTCTGGTAGTTTACTCTGCGGTCTTCTTTACATAGTGATAACTATTGTTTCCACTCTTTGGTATTAGGACTTGAAAAGTTAATTATAATAATGTGGGAGTCCCCTCTATGTGCTATGATTACCATTAATGAATAAAGAAACTGCTTTGGCCTGCTGATAGGGCAGAACTTAGGTAGGCGGGGAAGAATAGACTGAAAGCTGGGAGAAAGAAGAGTGGACTCAGAGATACCTTGGATACGCAGCCAGAGTAAGACATGCTGAAACATTGCTGGTGAGCCACTGCCACATGATTACACAGATACACAGATTAATGGAGATGGGTTAAATTAAGATGTAAGAGTTAGCCAATAAGAAGCTAGAGCTACTGGGCCACACAGTAATTTAATGAATATAGTTTCTGTGTGATTATTTCAGGGCTAAGCTAGCCAGGTGGCCGGGTGGCAACAAGTCCCTTTCCTCCAACAACTTGGTTCAAACATGGCCAGCTAAATCAAATTAAAACCTGAGAGAGTTTGAAAAGGAAATCTAGATACAAAAAAACAGAGTTTAAGACATCTTCTTGCTGTTTTTCTGGCAGTGTGCAGCAGCTCCTTTAAGAAAAGTTTTCCTGATTCAGCTATAACAGAAAAAAACCCACACAGTTTTAAAACACTGCTTTTGGGCCACACTGCCAACACAAATTTTTTCTCTGGAGGTTCAGCTATGGAGCATTTGACTGGGGTTTGACATCATAGAAACCCTTTTTATATCATAAACGTAGTCTTTATCTATGATCAGGGTCATAAGATAGACTAACCTGGTGTTTCTTAGTAAATTCATGTCATCTGCATATAGAAATCATACTACGTTTTGATTCATTCTTTCCATTTTTAGAATAGCACTATCAAGTTATATCTAAATGATCTTAGATTAGGATAGTATTGTTTTTACATTTAGAATTTTATTCTACTCATAAGAAACTTATCAAATACACCCAGATTATAGAAAAATATTCTTAAATTCATTATAAAACTATTTCCTGAGTATCACATTGTTCTGTGAAGTAGGGATATCTAAAGAAGACATTATCTCTGTCCAGGGTGAGCCTAATATAGGGTGAGTGTGAGCTGTCACTGAAAATGCAAATGAGTGATATAGGCTTTCACAATGGTATGAACTGAGCATCATTTGCTGTTTTATTCCTGTTGTTTATGATTCCTGGATTTTTATCTAGCTAGAGTAGAAATGAAATCTGATGGTGGTATGATACATGACTATATCAGAGCAGTAGCTAATAAGACCTCCAGATAAAGTTGGAGTTGTATGAGTCCCAGACTTATCCTTACTTAGCTTCCTTATTCAATGCAGGGCCATTATGATGTAGGAGGGTTCAACCTGCTGTGGACAGGACCACAGGGATGGTCCCTTCTATATCAGGTCAGCTCTGTGAACTGGACCATCCTCCATCAATCAATATCTATTCCTACAGACTTGCCATAGAGCAGACGTTTCTCTTCGATGATTCTAGGCTTTGTCAAGTTAACAACTGAAGCTAACTAGATGGATAACTAACTACTTTCTAATGAGATTTTCGCCCTACTCCACTGGAAAGTACCTGACACCATAAACCTGATTAAAAGTCAAGGCAATTCTAGCTTAGAACCTACTATTGCTCTTTTGCTAAAGATCATGTTAACAAATTACCTTCTAAAGGCTTATGTTAATAGCTGTTGATTTGGGTTGTTCTCAGCCTTTGTTTGAGAGGTTTTTGTTATAATGGGAACCAATCTGAAATGGACACTTACAATTCAAATGATTGAGAATGATCAGGTCCATGCTAAGGCTCAAGAAGGGGGAAATAATGTAAGAATCCGATGGTGAGGAGAAGTGCTGTGGAATACTTCCTTCTTGAAATGTCATAAACCAAAAGAATCTGTCAGCTTTACAGGACTGACTTAAAATCAGGAGACCAAAATTCCATAATAAATGGGAAGGAGCTCTTAATACTCCACCTGTAAATAAAGAGCTATTGGTAATCGTAGATTCTAGGACATGATAAGTTGGGGGTTGGGCAGACACTGGTTCACTGGCCATGATACAGCAATGCCCCCCCCCCCACGAATGCATGCATGCATCTATAGACAATACTAATTGGATTTACTTGGTTAACAAAAATAAAATAATTGGACAGAATTTTGGAACTGGGACCTATTAAGTACACCCAGTGGGAGGTAGGAATATGGTCATGAAGTCTGAATTTAATGTTTCACTGAGTCTAAGTAAGAAATTCTGAATGAATAAATTAAAATCAAGAGAAGAAATTGTGAATCTGTGTGGTAATTTTAAATTTGGAATATATGTGGTAAGTGATGATGCGACTTAAAAACATTGTGGTCTTGTGCTCCATAAATGAGAGGAAATGGAACTTTTTGACAGCTCAAATCTACTTAAATGACTGAAATTAGAGTGGTATTGTTGAGGTCAGTTGTGACTAAGGGATATGAAGGAAAGTGAATGAATATTCTTCACTTTCAGAACCTCCCAAGTAGTGGGATTTGGCAGAAGGTGGCAGGAATGCTTGTTTGAATTCCGTGGAGAAATACCTATGCTTGAAGGAGGGTGACCTTCATCACAGGTCCTTTAGGAAATAAAGGATGTGAGGTCTGTGTACCGAAAAATAGCCACAAGCAATGGCTTCCCTTTTGTAAAGACAAGTTAGTCTATTTCAGTCTGTTAAGTCTGTTAAGTCTATTTAGTCTATTAAGTCTGTAATCTGAACACTATAATTTATGCATAGCAAAAACAAGAAAGAAAATTGTTCAACAAACAAAGTCAGAGAAGGCTTGGCATTTGTGAACATAACTGGTATTTGGAAACATTTTCTGCCCATGTGAATTTTGCGAACCACAAGTAATCTCAGTGAGGGTTGTTGAGGATAGCTCCTCAGTTACATCAAAACACTCTAAACTGAACATGTGATTTTGTTTTTATAATCCCTGAGTGCATATTTGACAGAAAATCTTTCACTGTCTAAAACATATGAAATACATGAAAGCAATCTTCACCCTGAGACTGTCTTGTTTTAGAGGGAAATGATTTGCTATCACAGCCTCTTCTTGCTGGAAGCAGCCATGAGAGGCCCATTTCTCAAGATTCTCCTGGCTTCAATGCAGCTATTCTTTTTTCTTCTTTTTACCCATGTTGGTAGTCTTACGGCAACAAAAGAGGCAACATTTTGTGATGATGAATACCACAGCTGCCACACAGGCCAACAAGAACCCAATCACATCCAGAGAATGGTACTGGACCCAGGTTAGGTCATGGAGGGCTGGGCGGAGGTGCTTGGCTCCTCTGTTGCGCATTACATACTCAATCCAGAAGACGGCTTTATCCAGGGGCTTTATTGGTTGATCATGTTGGATTCTTGACAATCTCATGGCATTCTCCTTGTACCTGAAGGGACAATGTACACAACTAAATCAAAATGAAACTAATTTGCAGAGCTCACTAACATTTGCTGGTTTGCGAAATAAATCCCCAAAGTGACTCAAAATTAAGCACAGATTTTTCTGCTTAATGAGGTGGCATGGGGGACTGTTGAGATAGTCTCATGTAGCCCAGCTTTGCTCTGAACTTGTGTAGGTTACAATGACCTTGGACCACTCAATGAACTTCTCTATCTACCTTCCAACTAACGGGATTGCCCACATGCACCAGCACCTCAGTTACAAATGCTGGCTCTGATTTTGCTTTACTCTCCATAAAATGTTTTTTTTTTTAATTGGTGTTTTCGCAGTTCAGCAATATTTTTCAAACTGGCAAGAGAAAATTAGCAATGAGATGTAAATCTTTTTTTTATGTGAGGAACATGTAACATTTGCTATTAGATCGTTAAGTGAAGTATACATAGAATTGTCTTATAACTGTCTTACAATTGTGTTACAGAGACAATGTGTCCTGTTGTTTATCTTCTCTCCAGTTTGAGCTTCTCCTCTCCCTTCTCTGTTTCCTAATTTCAATCTGTTTGTAGGTTCATATTTTGAAAACAGTAGAATTATGATTCTTCTTTGCATAGAACTTGCACCAGAATTCTCAACTAAATGAAAAAAAATCTATTCTTGTTCCGGGACTTGGAGACTGTATGTAAAAACCCAGCAGCATTTTCTCTTATTGTTTGACCTCTTGACTTTCTGATTAGGTCCATCTATCTTCTGGTAAGCCTTGAACCTTCCAGTGGTGTTCCCTGGGTATGTTATAAATTTATTATTGACTGTCATTCCAGTTGCTTTTATTTCATTGTCCAGGGCTTAACATAACTGTCAACTAACATAGGTTCCTTTGTTGACACCACTGACTTAGAAGCCTTAGATGTTGACTATGAGTTCAGTGAGACTCGATATTTATTTTTGGGTGATAAAATGACCTAAATTATTCGAAGGATTTTTGAGATGTCATACAATTGAATTTAGAACATATTTTGTCAAAACTAGCCACCACAGCTTCTATTACAGGGTTGGTAGAACTTGTCTTTTGTTTGAGCACTTGGTTGGCAGTCAGGAGGATCTCTTGAATATGAGACCAGCTCAGTACTACAAAATGAGATCCTGTTTAAAAAAAACAATGATAGAAATAAAATTTACCAAAAGTTTCATAGCTTCAGAAAATATGGGTAAATAGTTAAACATTCTTTCATTAATTTTAAAGTTCATGATTTCTTTATTATGTATATTCCATAATGTTTATAGTATCCTTGCAACCAATAGATGCATATTTGAAGCATTACTTATTTATACAGAATATTTCAGACTAATCATTGTTGAAAATAAGCATATATTTCAGATATGCAAAATAATTGGAAGGTTTTCACAGTTATTGTCTTTCAACTGGTATTAAAATCAGTATGATTATGATAAGAATATTTCCAAATATTTTTAAGGAAGTAGTTATATATACCAAGCATAATGACACATGTTTTAAGTCCCAGAACTCAGTAGGCTAAAAAGCACGCAGATCTCTATGAGTTCAAGGCCAGTTTTGAGGTTATACAGTGAGACCCTGCCTCAAAAAAGAAAAAAGAAAACTCAAACCAATAATAATTATACTCACGAAGGGTCATTAATGACAGTCCTCAAGGCAGTAAGAAGCTCTGTAGTTGATAATGTGCTGAAGTCCACTCTAATGGCTGCTCCCTTGGCTACCATGTGGTTAATATTATCAGGTTGATCCGCAAACAATGGAATACCAACAATAGGGATGCCATGATAGATTGCTTCATAGATGCCATTGGTTCCACCATGAGCTATAAAAGCTTTAGTTTTTGGATGACCTACAATTAGAATTATTTTTGCATAATTATTTTGCATAAAAATGTGAAAGGGAAATGAAAGATAAGGGTCCAGAGGGGACTGTTCTCACAGAAAACATATTATTATAGTGACTGATTTGCGGTGAAACTGCTGTGGGCTTTCATAGTAAGAAGCTCTTCAGTGAGCTGGAGAGTTAAGAGAAGATTATTTGGAAGAAGTCTTAAGATGTGCAAAAATGAAAACAAGATTGTCATGCAAGAAAATGAAAGAACGAATGTGGGTAAAAAAAATCCAGTGGGCAAAAGTTCATGTAGTTAGTTTTATATTACCAGGTATGAGTTTCCCCTGAGATTCTGACTATAGAGAACTCACTTTTCCAAACCAGTGTAATTTCTAATTGCATTTGAAATCCTTATCCTTATACTCACCTGTAAGTGTAGTTCTCAGCTCCAATCAAAGAATCTGATTGTTGCAAAAAACAAAGACCATTATAGAAAGTCAAAGTTGTCAAAATGCAGAGAGCAACTGACCTTGAGGCATAAATCTCCACATAATACATCTATAATACAACCCTCCTATGTGTACCGTTTAGAGAACATTTCAGAAGAGGGGGTGGAAATAGTGTAAGAATCATAGGACAAGGATGTCTGCTCTGAGATTGAGTCTTCATATAGTCCAGGGAGACTGCAATCATTGAATCTCAACTTTATGGTGGCCGAAACAAGATCAGTACGTTGAATATAACAGTTGACATGCCAATGTAAGGGTGGAAAATTTCACAGTGCCTTGTTCTCAAATAAAGAGTCACAGACCCTTAATAAGTGCTGAGACTCATTTTTTCCCCAGGGATGACCCCAAATTTGTTATCCAAAACCAAATGGTGAGTCCAAAAAATATAATATAACAGGAATACTGAATGAACTCAGCATTTTGTATTTGTGTATTTGTATGTGCAGATACAATAATAACAATCATGAAGAAAAAATGTGGTTGAATGGGAGAAAGAGGATAGATCTGAGATAAATTAAGGTAAATGGAGTTGATGGTTTAATTTGACTAAAATATATTGTGCAAAATTTTTATTAAAATATTACACTAAAACTCAAAAAGCAATTAGTCTATATATATAGAAATAGTTGTGACAGTGTGTCTGGTATGTGTAGTGTATAGTCACTAGGATGGTGAATAGTGTAATCTAAGGCCAATCAATCTATAGTTTTTTATGAAATACCTTAGCCCTTTTGTAATGATATTTTGTTTGTAATCTAACAAATAAAACATGCCTGAAGATCAGAGTGTGGAGCTAAGTCACTAGTTAGCCATAGAGGTCAGACAGCGGTGACCCACACCTTTAATCCCAGCACTCAGGAGTCACATGCCTCTAAAATCAACATTAGGGAGGATAGACAGGAAGGGATATGGCTGGGTGGAGGGAGGAACATAAGGAGGGTGGAGAGAGGATCTGATAGGCAATCTGAGGATTCAGTCTGAGTCTGAACATGCAGTATGAGGATTCATACAGACAATGTCCCTTCAGTCTGAGAATTGGTAGAAGTAAGATCATTAGTAAATGGATGTTTTGCTTCTCTGATCCTTCAGTTTTCCCCTCTAATAGCTGATCTAAATTTTTATTAATAAGACCAATTAGAATTCCCACTACACACTTTGTGGTATAGATATTACATTTGTTTGCACAGAAAACACAAAGTCAGTATTGAAAAAGGAAGGGCTCATATTCTCAGTGGCATTTGAAATATTTCTGTAACAGAATAAAAGATAATAAAAAAGGAAGAAACAGGAGACAAAGAGGAAATTCATACAGTCTCTGGGTGATTCTAGGGGTAGTTATTATAGCTGAAGTTAAGATACTCAGATTCTAGACATAGAGAAGATGATTTTTGAATAACAAAATGGTAACATTTACAGGCAGTTCTTTTCCATTTTGTATTTATGAAAATAAATATAGATAAGTTTGCTTTGTTTTTTACTGTTTTCAATATCTGTTCTTCTCTTTCTTTATTGACCTTTGCCTTACCAAGAAGGTCATTCTGGGGGATCCACTTGTACAGCCGAGTATTGGATGCTAAGGTGTCTGGTTTCTTACCATCGAATCTCCACAGAACCTGATACACATAGAAAATACCTTATTGAATTATAGAAATTCCAACTCCTTAGTATATTTTGATTCTGGAGAATTAAAGAGATTACTGAGTTGAATATTATTCAGATGATTGTTAATGAAATTAAGAGGGGATTTTAAAATAGTATGAGATGTTAAAAGACTGACATAAATAATGCATTTTCTGTACACAGTTTTATAATAACATGAGCATCATATTTAATCATATTAATTTATGCAGGTTTGATGATTAATGACAAATTTAAGCCTACGTGAATTTTTTAGTAAATTAATATAATCCTGATTGAACAAACTATAGACAATTAGTAATAATTTATGATTATGTATATAGTATGTATAATCCTAGGTCTTATTTTACAAATTCAATATTAATTTATATCTTTTTGAGTCAAGAACACATAATTTTACCAATATTCCCATCTTCCTTACACTATTCATTATAACAGTTTAATTTTGATGCATAAAATATCGTATTGACATAATTTACTATTCTGATAAATAATTTCTTTCTTACTAAGAAGTGTGTTTACTTTGTTTCAGATGAATCTTTAAGGACTGCCCAAAGAAAAATATTAATAGGAAAATTTGAAGCATGATTTCTATTGCTCTAAATACATTTCATGTCTAGTACCTAATTGAGTACTGAAATGCAAGCAATCCCCACAAACTGGAATATAAATTGTCTGTTTTCACCTACTATATGCTTTGTGTTTTATAAAAGAAAAGAAATTGTGTTTACATAAAAATATCTTGATGAACAGGAAAAATCGTTATCAAATAATAGGGTAAATGTTGCTCACAAACAGCCAAAGACCAATGCTTTCAGAAAGTGAGTCAACCATACAAAAATTTGTGGAGTCAGGAGCTGCTAGATTCTTCCTGTGCCAATACTGACTTATTCCTGAATCCACCGTGAATTCCTTTCTCTTTCCCCAACGAGAAAGAAATGTTCACCTGGTGAGCTAGAAGCAGAGTTCCTGTAGATACATTTGTAATCTCATACATCCTGGGCTTGTTTCAGGGTCAGGAACTATTTTCATCCTTTTTTTTAAACCAATGTTTCCTACATCAGCCATTGGGAAGATCTTTTTTCCTCCTCTTTTTTTTTTTTTTTTTACAAACATTTTTGTTTCATCTTATGTATTTGGGTGTTTTGCCTACATGTAATTCTGTGCATTATAAAGCATGCGTTCGGGAGATCTGAAGAGCATATAGATCCCCTGGAACTTGAGTTGGGGTCAGTTGTGAGCTACTATATAAGTGCTAGAAATCAAACTCAGGCTCTTTGGAAGAAGAGCCAGTGCTCTCAGCCCCTAAGTCATCTCTTCAGCTCCAAGATAATATTTCTCATTGTTTTATTTCCTCTTTTTACTTTTCACACAGGAATTTTTCCTTCTAAATCCTTTCAGCATTCAGTCGACTTATCTCACCTTTTGTGGAATCTGGGCAAGAGCAGATGCAACTATATTGGCCTTTTCAGATGATATGTTTTTAACCATTGACCCCAGAGAAAACACCACAATACCATGTTCTCCAGAACTCTGAACAAAGTCTTCCATTTCCTACAAAGAAAGATGTGATATCACAAATGAATGACAGCATGGGAAGAATTGTCTAAGGGATTGAGACAGACTTTATGAGAGGAAATAATGTAATAACTGGAGTTATTTTAAGATTTCCTTTGCTTTGATACTCAATATTTGTCGAGAGCACATTTGTACTATAGTGCAAATGACTAAAATAAGTAAATTAGAGATAAAAAAGTAATGTTGCTAGAGATGTCACTGAAATTTAGATGATCATTAGGAAAGATCACACACAGAAGAGGCAGCAATACTGTAAAAGCCAGAAGGGATGGATGATTTCCCAGTGTATTCCAGGCACTGCAAGAGTGATGAACAGATAACTCCAGAGGCTATGGCAGCACACATGAGATCTGCACAGGCTCAAGCCAGAAGAGGCTCCAGCACTGATAGTTGAAAATGGACATGGAATTCTGTTTTTAACGAAGAAGTTATTTGTAGTTGACACCTGACAGCAAAGAGGGAAAGAGCTCTCGAATGGCGTGTCACTGAGTAAATCATCCATATCCCAGAGCAGAAACCATTCCCAAAAGTATTTGGTCAACAAAAAATAAACCACATGTTTTTTTTTTTCTATTGTTGAAATTGCCTTTCAATTTGTTTTTCTTGGGTAATTTGGTCTTGCTGATTTTTAGTTCACTGCTTTTATTTTTACTTTTGTGATCACTCTCTCTCTCAGCATGCATAAATCCTGTGCAAGCTCAAGCAAGACAAGATCATACCATGGAGAGGAGAAGTAGACATGAATTTCTACCCTTAGTTAAGGAATCACTAGCAATTGATGGCTGCTGGGTGAGGTGGTGTCATTTTTCTTTAATAATATTGCCCCTGGTATGCTGATGACCTCCAGTAGAAGGTCATGTGCAAGAGTACACAAGAAGCACAAATTTGACCAGAAGGTTGTAAAAAAAGAAAAAAAACCACACAAAATCAGATTGGGTAAGGATGACAGATGGATTTGGGAGAAGTTGGGGAGAACTGAATATGATCCAAAAAAAAAAAAAACTGTATAACATTCTTTAAATAGCCAGTAAAAAGAACCGAGTAAGAGAAATAAACTTACAACTCTTCCATAATTCTGACAAATGAGTTCAAATTGTACATGCAAGTTGAAGATGGCCCTTTTAAAGAATGTTACAGAAAATTGCATTTACCTGCACAAACGCGTTGAAAATACAATCCTCTCTCACTCTGAAAATTTTACTCAAATTGGGAGAAAATTGGAACTGAAAGTTCAAATCCCGTTAAGAAAACTCCGGGACAGGGGCTGGAGAGATGGCTCAGCGGTTAAGAGCACTGCCTGCTCTTCCTAAGGTCCTGAGTTCAATTCCCAGCAACCATATGGTGGCTCACAACCATCTGTAATGAGGCGTGGTGCCCTCTTCTGGCCTTCAGGCATACACGCAGAAAGAATATTCTACACTAAATAAATAATAAATAAATATTAAAAAAAGAAAACTACGGGACATTAAAAAAGACAGTAATTTATTGATTAGAAACCCATCAGCCCAGGAAATAAATTGGGAATTAACAAATGGGACAACTCCATAGGAAAAGCTTCTGAACAACACAAAAAATTATCATCAAAATGAAGAGACTCTTTAAAAACTTGGAGAAACATCTAAAACATGTCCAGAGTGTAGATAAATTTAAAATCTCTAAACTTCAAAAGAAAAAAAATCATTCAACGGAGACAGATGATTCAAATGAGTTATTTCTCAGTAGAGGTACAAGTAGCCTATAATTACATGAAAAATATTTTAATAGTTTTAGCTATCAGGAAAAATGAAACTCAAAATATGTTGATAGACCATAATAATCCAGTCAGCATGAATGTTACAAAAATTAAAACAATAGCAAATACTCCCACAGACGTTATGGAAATCAAGAATTCATATATTTATTTTACATAGGATTGTGAAATAATACCAATATGAAAAACATAAGGTTCTTCATACAAATAACATTTGCTCTAAGTGGACGGTTCAGTTATGCCATTCTTGGATGACAGATCTGAGAGAAATAGTCACAAGGGAAAAAAGTCCACATAACGATGTTTATTATACCACTATTCACAATGCTCAAATATAAAACTAGCTTAAATAGTCTTCAACTGACCAATGTGTAGAAGAGTGTTAGTATATATACACAATTGTGCTTTACCCAGATAGTAAAAATACCAGGACTGTAAATTTTCAGGAAAATAGCCATTAATTAGAGGACACCATGTTAACCAATAAGCCAGACTCCTTTTTTAAGTGGAAACTACAAAGACAAAAACAAACCACCAGCAAAATGTAAATGTAGAAAGACTATAACAAAGTGGAGACAGACAAGAAGGCGTGTGGGACACTCCTAGATGTAACTTTCTAACACTGTCTGCCTCAGCACCTTCCTGCTTAGCTGAGTGTGGAGTTTTTGACAACAGTTCTTGCAATTGTCTGCAGGCTTTTGTCCTTCTCCCTTTCATTCTTTCATCTGACCCTGTACACTGGCCAGGTCACCGTAGCTATGTATGGATTTTAGGACAGTTCTTGTGATCTCTGTTGAATATTTTTTCAACATATCTGTCCCTCTCTGATAATACAATACACAACATTTATTATACTGTATACATTTCTTCATGCTTATAATCTGTTCAAGTAGAATATAAATTCTCTCTGTTAGAGAAATTTATTAATTTTTTTAAGTTTTCATCATACATCTTTGGCATTTATTCTATGTTCTTGAATAGAGTACTAATTCCTTTTTATGAGTTACATAAATGTCCTTAAGTCACTGACCACATTCTAAAAGGATTTGACATTTTTCTTAATAGTAGTCAGACAGAGAGATGTGTTAAAGTATGGAAATAATGTATGTCAATTGGCAGAGAGTTCTAATCCATTTTTTATATCTCTCATGAAACTAAACATCTTGAAAGAGTGGTGTAGAATTGTTTCTGCGAAAAAAGACAAAGTCATTTATCAAAGGAAACAACATAGGTTTACCTTAGGTAATGGTTTGGCTGGTTTGCAGTGGAGTCCACCAACAAACTCAAAGTTAGGTAGAAGTGGGTGGGGAAATTGCAAATCCCAATAGGTTCGAATGAGCCATATGTCTGCTTTTCCCATCATCTCAGATAATGTTGTGGGTCTCCCTGCATCACAAAAACAAGTAAAATATACAATGAAGAAAGAATTTTGTCTGGTATATAGCATGTGATTTTTGGAGATAAGTTGAAATAAAGTTGACAACAACTTAAAATATTTCACTTGTCATTTCCAATATAAACGGATTAACACAAATTTGTGTAAAAATTACATTGTCTTCCAAATTTATGTCAATAATTTACAAGCTTTTTGACCACTGCAAAGAACCTTGAAAATATGTACAAAAAACAGCTTTCATAGATTATTTAGTCTAATTCACAGATTTTAGAAGCTAATTTCTTGATCTTTGTTTCTTCAAATGCACTGTGATAATCTGTAACGTATGACTAAATTCCTTTTAACTCCTGCTCTACTGGGTTCATAATAAGGGACTAGTAATACTATCAGCTGTATGTGTGAAAGTCACATCAGGATATCTTCCATCAAAAGTTAACATTCAAGTTATTTTTGGTCTTAATTTGGATGCTATTTTTACTTAATGTAAAAGGTATTAAAACAATAAAAATATCTGCATTTTACAGCAAAATTTTTAGCTTTAATTCATAAGTTTTATGCATCTAAGAAGTCTTAAACTCTACCTTTCATGATATGCTAGATAAATGTTTTAATTTGCAAGTGAAGTAACTTTTATAAAGGAACATATTTTCTTCAGTGCTGCATAGATATTCATAGAAGTGAATTATTTATCCTTAGTGTATATATTTACAGCCACTAAAGCATTCAAAGAAATCTAGAGTTTCTTATACTATGACAAACAGAATAAAATGATACCAAGAGAAATCTTTATTTCAGTTTGCAAATTAGTAATTTCTGGAGTGTCCTGAACAACTCTACAGCTGGCCTGCTTTGTTTGGAGGCTATTTTACTTTATCAACTTACAATTAGCAACCTCATTCTATGACTTTATATTCCTTCACACATACTCATATTCAAAGATGTAACAAGTCAGGATTTCAGTTTAGCAGTGAAAGACAGTTTACCTAGGGCGTCACTGTAAAACTGACTCCAGGACTTCTCTTTAAATGTTTGAAACCAAAAGTCAAAGTACAGCACTTGCAACATATTCTTCACCCTTTCCACGAATGTCATGTGGTCACTAAATTCTGAGAGAACCACAGGCACATAGGAAGGAGGGAGTGTAAGACCCCCGCTGTACTTTTCAAATTTGTATCCAGGACAGAAGCGGAGACTGTACACTAAAGGTGTCTTAAGCAGTTCGGCTAGCAGCTCACCACAGGGACCAATAGCATCTGCAAGAATGACATCAAACTTAGATTCTTGGAGTTTTTTCATAAGACTCTTGTTCCAAACTATAGCTTTGCAAAAGCTTTCAATAACGTCAGAATATTTATTAAAGACTTCTTCCATCTTTGAGTAATATGTCCAAAAGGAGTATTTTTGAAAGTCATTTGTCCATTCAGTTATCCATGATTGAAAATCATCTTGAAGCTCTTCTTTACTCACAGGTACAGAGTAAATCTCAAAATTAATAGAAGATTCTCTGCTAGGATTAATAAGGATGGAAGCTGAAGATGTCAAAACAGTCACTTCATGACCTCTGTGCACAAGTTCATCCACAATTATCTTTATATTTATCCAATGGCTGTATTCTGTGGGCCACACCAATACTTTCCCACAAGTTCCAAGTCTAAAGTAGCATATCAGCTGTATCAACAGAAAAACTGAAGCCTGTTTCACAGACATTTTGCTGAAATAGAAGACTTTTGACATCTGTCATTCTTCACAAATTTCAGGCTTTTATACAAAGCTGAACCAGTTAAGAAGTTAACATGTAACTTCAAAACACATCAATGAATTGATAAGCCTGGTGGTGTAATGTCATGTGTAAATACAAACATGAAACACGAAGTCAGGGTTAACAAACTTTGTTTGTCCCCTTTTCTTTGGGTGCCTGATACTATTCGGCTAAGATCAAATGATTCCCATGTGCAATTATCTTGTCTTAAATATAATATTAGAGCCATAGAAGGAGTCACAACCGAGAACCTCCTATTGATTTCAGAACAGTAAAGATAAAACTAGAGGATGGGTAGATCAGTATTTCTTTTTAAGACAATGGTGCCTTTTGAAATTCTTGATTATATATAATGCATTATGTTATAATCAAATTGCTGCAGTTTCTCCTGGAAGAAGGAGGAAGTCCTATAATACTCAGGAGAGGAGTATAGATGGAATTTTCTGTCCCACCTGGTCCCACAGCCATTCAGTCCCAAAGAAACACAAAGAGGCTTATATTAATTATATACTGGTCTATTAGTTCAGGTGTATTATTAGCTAGCTCTTACAATTTAAGTTAAGCCATAATCCCCTTATCTATGTTTGGTTACTTGGTTTGGTACCATTTCTCAGTGTAGCATTTTCATCTTGCTTCCTCTGAGTCTGGATGGTGACCCTAGACTGAGTCTTTCTTCTTCCCAGAGTTCTTCTAGTCTGGTCATCCCATCTATACTTCTTCTCTGGCTCCTGGCCAATCAGGGCCTTGGTAAACCAATATGAATGACAAAAATCTTTACAAGGTACAAGAGCATTATCCCATAGCACTTTCCTTTGTTTTCTTTTCAAAACAAGAACTCTGAATCTCCTTTGTTTAGCTTTTTTCCTGACCATCATCCAAAACAACTTGTAACCAACATGCTAAACAAAAACAAACATCCATAATCCATTTTGGGAAATAATGGGCATAGTTTTCAAGGCTACTTCCTGCTGATGGGGACACTAATAATCTTACAGGGACTTTAAGAAAAATTAGGATTATGGTCAAGTACTGACTGGAGAATTCTGTGAGTCTGGATCTTCTCAGCCAGCAGTCTTGAGGCTGTTCTGGATGTAGAACTCAGAGGAAACTGAAACAGAGGTACTCTGACACTTTGGATCATCTGGGCCATCTGTTTCCATTGTAGATTTTTCAGGGGATCCTTCTTTATGAAACTGTTTTTTTTCCCAGAATCCACAGCCTCTCATTTCCTGTGAAAACAAAAGCAAAACCCTCTTCTCCAAAGTAACATATCTTCTGACTTAAATTTTGAAGTCAAGGCATTTTCTATATATATATATATATATATATATATATATATATGTGTGTGTGTGTGTGTGTGTGTGTGTGTGTGTGTGTGTGTGTGTTAGATTAATCTAACAGCATTTATAAACAAATGTCTTTTAGCAACTGTTGCTCTTTCCTCAGGGGTCAAGCAATTCAAAGACAACATAATAACATACAATATCCAGATTCCCTGTGTATTTTCCATCTTTACATGACTTTTTAAATTCTAATTCTTTTATCTTTATTTTTAATTTTTCTTTTTTTGAGACAAGGTTTTTCTGTGTATCTTTGGCTGTCCTGGAACTCACTCTGTAGACCAGGCTGCCCTTGAACTCACAGAAATCTACCTGCCTCTGCCCTCCCAGGTGCTGGGGTTAAAGGCATGAGCTACTACACCCAACTACTCTCATTTTTTCTTTTGTAACTGATTTTATTGAGTTATACATTTTATTTTCTCCCTTCCCTTCCTTTCCCCTTCCCTTCAACCCTCTCCCATGGTCCCCATGCTTCAATTTACTCAGGAGATCTTGTCTTTGTTTACATCCCATGAAGATTAGGTTCACGTATGTCTTAGATCCATGCATGTCTTCCTTCGAGTCAAACTTTCTCTATCCTTCTTCCTTTCTCTCCCAATCTTACATATATTTTTAAACACACTGTAAACCATATAGAGTATTTTTTCCAAATCTTTCTTTACTGTATATCTCTTTTTTCTGACTACATGAGTTTTTAATTTGCTAAATGATATGACTAGGATTAAAGCTGCATCTTTGGCAGCTGGATCAGCCTACTCCTTGACTTCCTGAGAGTCTAGCTTCATGGCAGAGGTGCTAGTGGGAGCCATGTTTTTTTTTTTAACCACAACTCTGTGGAGCTTTTAGGTACATGCCACCACCAAGAAGCATGCCAGTGGTCCTTTTAAAAGAGCTGCAAGGTTTTTGCTGCTAACACTAAGTCAAGAAGCTTCTCTTAAAAGAGCCAATCTTCTGCTTTCCTCTAGCAAACAGAGCCCACCAGAGGCAACGCTGCTACCAAGAAATCATGCTTCAGACTTTTTTTGAGCATGGCAAATAATAATTTGTAACCACTCCTCCTAAACAATGACAAAGATTTATAATCCTTTGAATAATCAACCCCTCATACCTCAACTTTTGGGAATTTGGGAATAGTTTTCTAGATGACTTCATGTTAGTTGGGGTTTTGGTAATATTTGGGGAATCTTGAGAAAAGTGGGATAATAATAAAGTCCCAGTTGTAGTAGTCCGTGTGTTTGGACCATCTTTACCAGGTGCCTTGAAGACGTTTTGGCTGTAGAGCTCACAGAAAACTGAAACAGAGGTGTTCTGAGATGGTTAGTCATCTGAGCCATCTGCTCCCATCAGAGATTTTTCAGGGGAGGTCTTTCTTGATCAATCCTATTTTGTCTAAAACTGGAATGAATTCACATACAAGCTTTCATTTCCTATGAAAATAAAAGCATATCCTCTCCCCCAATGCAACACATCTTTTGAATTAAATTTTGAAGTCAAAATATTTTTAAAATACATAGGTTGGCTTAATCCAGGAGTTTCCATAATCCTATGTCTCTTACTAGCCAGAAAATTTAAAGACAGCACAACAACATACAGAATCCAGACTCTGTGTATTATCCATCTTTTTTTGTTTTTATTGCTCTATTTTTAAAGGTCTTTACTATTTTATTCTTAAATTATTTTTATATAGTCTTTTTCTTGTCTTTCTCAACCTTATGTTATTCTTAAATACACTGTAACCTCTTTAAAGCTTTTTTCTCTATTTTAATATGTTCTTATTGTGTATCTGTAACCTTTTTTTGTCTGCATAAGCAAAACCTCAAATCTGTTTCCCAGCAAGCTGATGCTTTCAGCTCAAGTATAAAGGCAATGACTGAGAAACACCTCTCTGTACTGTGGCCATGTGAGAGATTGCAGAAATCTGTCATGCTACTTAGCTTATGGCGGTTGGTGTCCAATTCCATTTCATAGGCAGTTGTTTAGAGATGTGTCTATGTACCATATGGCTAACATGAGAGCCCAGAAAACTCAGTGCAGCTTCATTTCTGTGCATTTAGAACCTTTTAAAAACCTTTTCACGTCTCACATGTATCAGATGGTGGGTGCCTTATGTAGGCAGAGTTTTTTGTCCCATAGCCTCTTTTAAATAATCACTCAGAGGCTTATATTAATTACAAAGGTCAGCAAATATCTTAGGCTTATTATTCACTAGCCTTTACAACGAAATTAACCTATATTCTTAATCTATGCATTGCCACATAACTTGTGAGTTGTTACTTCATCTTGTGTACATCTGGCTCATTTGGCAGCTCACTTGTGTCTCCCTTGACATCCCTGACTCCACCCTTCCTCTTTCCATCGCGCTCTGTGTGGCAGGCTGTTTCACCCAATCTCTTTTTGTCTTGCTATCTGCCCATTAGTTTTTTATTAACAATAAGCATAAGTCACAGCAATAACCTGATAAATTCCTTGACTCACTTTGCCATACTTGAGTGAAATTACTAATTTGGTTTTTCATCAATGCCTTTTCTGATCTTAAAAGACATTTGTTCTCCTGTTTCCAGGAAAAAAAATCATCTATGTAAATGTAGTCCAAAAAGGGACAAATACAGATAAAATCAAATATTATTCTAGTAGAGTGGTTTGTGTGACTGTTGCTGTAGGTGATGTAAATGCTACTTAGACTGGCCTATAAAGAACTTTATAATATAAGGAGGGTATCATGATAGTTAAAGAGGAGAGAGTGCGGGAAATACACTTTTCCTCACTAGACTCAGATATGACAGGGAAAGTAGAAGAAAGGGGAGCGAGGCAGAAATATTGGCTTGTGCTTTCTTACAGTCAGTGGAAAACAAGGAAAATTTCCTCCCTTCTACATTAAAATATGTCATTGATATTGCCATGGTTTTATGTTTGCATATGCAGGCAATTCTAGGAGAGCCTGCTTCACCATAGACTTTACTTCCTGGTATTCTGATTCTTATAATCATGGTGTTTACTCTTTCATCATATTCCTTGAACTGTATTTACAGGAATGGTGATGTAAACATATCCATTGACTCAGGAATTTCTGAACTTTTGATATTTGTATTATGCAAAATTTCACTTTTCTAGGCTGGCTCTCTATTGTAAAGTGTGGCAGTCATAATGTGGTGGTTTGAATGTGAATGACCCTCATAGGCTCATATACTTGAATACTTGGTTACCAAGGACTTGGCACTATCAGGGGTGTGAGTTTTTGAAGTGGCTGTGGCCTTGTTGGAGGAAGTGTGTCCCTGGGAGTGGGTTTTGGGATTTCAAATGCTAAAACCAGGTCCAGTGTCTCTTTCTCTTCCTGCTTCATGCAGTTCTGAAGGTAGAACTCTCAGCTACCTCTCTAGTACCATGTTTGCCTGCATGCCACCATGCTTTCTGCCATAATGACAATGATCTAAACCTCTGTACTGTAAGTCAACCCTAATTTAATACTTCCCTTTATAAGAGTTGCCAGGATCATAGTGTTTCTTCACAGTAACATTGACTAAAACACAAACATACCTGTGGGTATAAGGATAAGATTTAGAATGTATTAAGGAATTGTGCTTGCTCAGCAAAGTGGAAATAGTAGATTTTCCCCCCTAAGGTCAATAACATCACTAGCCCCAGGAAGCTGGCTAGGTTTTCAATACCAGTCATAATTTCCTTCCAGCACAATATTCCTTTGTTCAGGCTAATCTTATGTGAACTTGACACACAAAGTAGAATTATTTGAAAGGAGGGAACCTCAATTGAGAAAATGCCTCCATAAGATCCAAGTGTAAGGCATTTTCTTAATTAATGATTGATGGGGGAGAATCCAGCACACTGTGGATCATGCCATCCTTGAGCTGGTGTTCCTGGGTTCTATAAGAAAGCACACTGGAAAGCATGAGGAACAAGTCAGTAGGAAGCACCTCTCCATAGCCTCTGCATCAATTTTTGTCTACAGGTTCTTGCCGTATTTGAGTTCAAGTTCTGACTTCCTCCAATCATGAACAGTGGTATAAAGATGTAAGATGAATAAATCCCTTCCTCCCCAACTTGATTTTGGTCATGGTACTTCATCCCAGCAATAGAAAACCCGACGAAGACATACTTATTTCAAATGTTTGGTCAGGGTAGTCCAAGTGACTCTCCCAAAATATAGGCTACTGATGCAGCCCTTGGTTGCCTCTTAAGGGTGTAGGGTGGGACCCCATTTCTGAAGTCATTGCACACTTAGGAAATAGAACTCAGAGGATTCTACCTAGATTTGACTGGTAAGTCTCTCCCTGCAGTCTGACTTCAATGGTTCCAAAAAATACTATGAGATCTGCCAAGAGAGGAAGTAATTAAGCAGTCTTCCCTAGCTGAATGTGTCTGTGTCCTGTGACTCATCTAAGAAGCTTTCATTAGAGAGCATTTCCATAGGACTATTGTGTGAAGGGGTTGGAATACTGTTTTGATCTTTCATATTTGAGTTTTTGTACTGTGATGTGGGCATGTGGTCTTTTCTCATCTGTTTTCTATCTGATGAAATATTCTAGCTTGTTTTATTCAGTCGGGGCTTTTCTAAAATTACACCCTTGGAGCTAGGTCTTGGAGTTTGGTATGGTATTGAAGCTTAAGATTCTGTTGAGGTTTCCAGACAAAGCCTGCACTGCTTTTCAGGAGGTATGTCTAGAAGTGTGGAGATGGTTTGGGTGGGATTCTGGTGGCACTCTCTATGGAAAGCCAGTGGAGGGGCTACATGGCTGGAATTAGGGGCGGGAATTTGCTAGTGGCACAGAAAAGCTTGTTTTTGGTGACACTAACCTGGGAAAGCCTGTATGGGAGCTGTGTGGTCATTGCTAGGTCTCAAAATATAGAAATGATGCTGGCAAGCATGTGCAATTTAACCAATAGCTAGTGTAGAAGTTTGCAATCAGTTCTTTTACATTTTAACTTATTTTTATATGTGTGTGTATTTGGCCTGCATGTATGACTGTGTACCACATGTGTGCCTGGTGTGTGTGGAGGCCAGAAGAGGGCATTGGAGCCTCTGGGACTAGGGTTAGAGGAGAAAGTGAAGCTCCATATAGAAAAACATAGGTCCTGGAAGCGCAGACAGTGCTTTTGATACCCAAGCTATCTTTCTAGCTCCTTACTTTATATTTTATTTAGTAAAAAGATACAATTTAAAGAATTTACTCAGGTCAGAAATTTTGCACCACTGCTGAAGGCATTTGCCACCAAAATCCCAATGGCCTGAATCCAATCCTATTTAAACACATGGTGGGAAGACAGAACCAGTTCTCTCAAGTTTTCCTGTGACCTCCGTAGATACACCTTGGTACGTATCAGTAGAACTGAAACCCACTGCTTAGGAATACTGCTCCAATGGAAGTGCTTCTGGCAAATTTTGTTTTTTCTTCCCTGGTTCACTTTAAGGACAAAGCAATCAAGAAGTTAAAGTCTCACCTTTATCTTTTCTTGTAAATCAATACTTTTAGTTTTTGATCATGTGGACACTTGGGTACCATAGAACACATATGACTTGAAGGTTATAAAAGTTTATTTGTGATCTCCTTTCTCTTTTACATCCACAACCACTTTGCTTACACTCTCCTTTACTTTGAAATATAAAGATGATGCAATGCAGTTGTGTCAAAATTATTTATCTGTCCATTTAAAATGTATTTAAAATTTTGATACTATAAAACCAACATAGCATACAATTCAGGAATTCAAAAGTTAAAGTTCAATGTTTTACAGCAAATTTATAGAATTGTAAAATTGTTACCTTTCATTTGTTTTATCATTTTAAAAAATCTTTTAAAAATATTTCTGTAACAAAAGCTTGCAGCATTCTGCAACACATGGAAAAATGCTATAGTTTGCTCATAATTCTGGTAGCTGGAAATCCCAGACAGCCTGGGGTTAATTCCTAATGACAGTGATTTGTCTATATATTAAAATAACAGAGAAATAAAACATGAAATGTGTATGTGCAAAAGAGGCCAAGTATGTGCATTACTTCATAACAGTTTATTATTACAGGAATGATTCTAGTCCTAACTGATATAGATACTCCCAGAAGAAATTTATAATCATCTGTCAAAAGTCTCTACTGCTTCTCAACCTTTTTACAATGACCAAAGTTTATCTTGTGGATAGGTCATATTCAAATTGCAGCACTCCACACTGAAAATATGGTTTGAGTGATAGAGACACTAATTTTCATGGTCTTAAATAAAGTTACTGTGATGTGTTTTGTAACAGACCCCAGTATCTTAGCAGAATTGATGCCATAGTGGAAGAATGGAACACATTCAGGCTTTGGAACTCAGCACATAGGCAGCAACACTTGAGAAACAAAGAGAAAAAACAAGAACTAAGACCTAATCTACCAAAGCCCATAGTTCCAGGAATGTCCGTGAATGTACTAACGCTGCTTTTTAGCTTCTGTAGCTACACTTCTGACTTACTGTTTTTGCTAACTGAGGTGTGTCAACCCACAATGTGGTTTTTGTGCTTCAAAGCTCAACCTGGGAAAGGCTTGGGACTTTCTCCAGCCAGTGAATAAAAGCTTACTATTGGCTTGAACCCATGTCTAAGTAGTCTTCTCTGGTGGATATGTCACAACATTTCCACAGGCACTGGGCATAATCTCTTTTGACTAGATTTATTTGGGGACACTAAGAAAACATTCTACTCAGACTTACCATTTGCAATGTTATTGTTTACTACTAATACGTATAAATATATGTATGTATTTTTGAAGTATTTATTTATTTATTTATATGCTTGTGTGCACATGTGTGCACAAGTATGAGCATGCTCATGGCAGCCAGAAGAAGGTGCAGATCTGCAAAGCAGGAGTTATAGGTAGTTTTAAGTTGGCCAACTTTTAGGTACTTAGAATCAAACTCTGCTCTTCTGCATGAGAAACAAGAGCTCTTAAACTCTGAACCATCTCTTCCGCCCTCACAATATATTTTCAAAAGGAAAAGGTATTTTAAGTTTATTAAGTTTATTTATCATTATACTTTTACAAAATTCTTTCAGGTTATCTGGGACTCATTTCATTGAGTATAATTTTTTCTTTGATCATGAGATATGTAAGAAGTAGTTGAAATTAAAATTACAGTATATTTCCATCTCTTACCTTCTGCATTCCTTTATATATTGTCCAAGTTTGTAAAAGTTTCCCAGTCTTGCCACCTAAATCTCTCTTTGATGACAAGAAGTGAAAAAAAAATCTGAGTTTCGGTTTATGATGTTTGAATTCAGAAATTTAGTAAAATAACCTTATTTTTTAATCCAGAAGTATGTATTCTGATTTACCTGTTTTGATGTAATATTCACTGTTCTTATATAATGCTATATGTATGACACCTTTTACTCTGATGTTAGTTTAATGTCCCTGTAGAATACACTGTGTATAAATGGCACAGAAAAAATGTTTCTCTTTGCCCGGATAGGGAATGTTCAAACCACAATCGACGGTGTCCAGTAGCAATTCACAGGTGGAGATTTGTTCTTGGTTTAACCACTTCTCAAAGCTTTTGGTTAAATGTGTTTGAAATTGAGAATTTTTCAATTTTGATTTCAATCATCCAATTCCAAACCTTGACCTTTTAAAAGCCAGATGTTATCTACAAACATAATGGTCCTTATATTGCCTAATTTCCTTTCCCTGTTATACCATTCTCCCTTTACTGACATAATCAGTTCACAAGGAGACAGCATTTATTTTGGCCATCATGGGGAAAATGTGTGGTACAGCAAACTCCTCACCTTATTCTAGGAACAAATGTCATAACATTCTTGCTCTAGGTCTCACCACCTAAAATGTTTCCTGTTATGATCTGGAGATCAAACCCTTAACGTGTAGTTTTATGGAATATTCGAAATTGAACCTAGTTCTGTGGCTGTAATTTGATTAATAAAGCACTAGTCTATCCTAAATAAAAACTTAAGTTCATGTCCAAGAACCATATACTTCATGCTCAGGTAATGGTCCTTGAAAGGTGGTTGCATGAAGAGACCCAGAATTCAACATGATTTTCAGCTGCACATTGAATCTGTGACCATAGTAAGATCTTGCCTCAAAGAGAAAGTCCTAAACAAAATAAGAAGAAATCAACCAACTGCTTTGAAGAAAGCAACTAAGTGAGGCAAAAGTTTTATTGAACCTATGTAAATTTGCATAATGCTCTTTTTATTAATTCACTCTTTTATTTACATTATACATTATTTTCTCACTGCAAAAATATTACCAATTCTTTAGTACATGAAATGTGGACTTTATAACACTTTTTAATCATTGGTTTATTTTTTTTAAAAAAGTTGACCAAACACTTAGAAAACACATCTTTCAATTTTAGCTTATTTTTATTGATTTATTCATGACAAAATATTTATATGAGAATGTATGTTTCATGCAACAGCAAAAAGAAGTTACAAAGAAAAAAACAGAAAAGTTTCCAAATGATGATCATGTAGACTATAAATTATATAGAATATTTTGTTTTTATTGAAAATAGGTTCTTTTCTCATACAATATATATTGACTATATTTTTCCCTCATTTTACTCTACCAAATTCCCACTACCTCCCCTCTGGATCCACCATCTTTTGCCTCTCCTTGGAAAAGAACTGTCTTCCAAGAAATAGCAACCAAATAAGACAAAATAAAATGACATAATGCAAAAACAATCACATCCATGTTGAACATGGTATCCCAACAGGAGGAAAAAAGGCGCAAGAGCAGGCATAAGAATCAGAGACCCACTTGTCCTAATACTCAGGAGTCCCATAAAATTACTGAACTGAAAGCTGTAGTGTGTATGCTGAGGGCCTGGAACAGACCCATGCAGACCCTGTGCTTGCTGCTTAAGTCTCGGTGAGCTCATATATGCCTTGTTTAGTTGATTCAGAGGGCCTTGCTTTCCTGGTGACCTCCATTCCCTCTATCTTTTGTACTCTTTTTACTTTCTTTTCCTCAAGGTCCCCAGAGCTCTGAGGGGAGGTATTTGACACAAAACCAACAAGATGCTGTAAGATAAAGAACAAAGTCATTCAGACAAAATGGTATTCTACAAAATGGGGAAAGATTTTTTACAAACTCCATATCTGATGGACTACTATTCAAAACATATAAAGAACTCAAGAAGCTAGATACAGACAAACCCAAATAATCTAATTTTAAAAATGGGGTACAGATCTTAATAGATAATTCTTAATATAGGAAACTCAAACGACTTAGAAACACTTAAATGATTCCTAATGATATTCTGCTATGCTTTGTAGGATCAGTGCTTAGTCCAGGTGTCATCAGAGAAGCTTCTGCCAGTAGCTGATGGGAACAGATACAGGGACTCACATCCAAACATTAGGCAGATCTCAGAGAATTCCACAGAAGAGGGGGAGAGGGGATTGTAGGAGTCAGAGGTTTGGAGGATCCCAGGAGAACACAACCCATAGAATCAACTAAATAGAATTTGTTGGGGCTCATAGAGACTGAAGCAGCAACCACAGAACCTCATGGGTCTGCACCAGGCCCTCTGCAAACATGCTGTGGTTTATTAGCTTGGGTTTTTGTTAGACTCCTGACAAAGGGTGTGAGGGGTACCTCTGACTCTTGACAGCTCATGGGACCTTTTACCTCCTAATAGGTTTCCTCATCTAGCCTCGATATGAGGATTTGTGTTTGGTCTTATTGCACCCTGCTATGCCGAGTTTGGTTAATATCACTGGGAGGCCTGCACTTTTCTGAAGGGAAATGAAGGAGCAGTGGGTCTGGGGGAGAGAGGCATGCGGGAAGCTGAAAGGAGGAGCAGAGGAGGTGGCTGCAGTTGGGGTCTGTTGTATGAGAAAAGAATAAATGAAATAAAATATTTCTTTGGAAGTAGTTAAAAATTCTAAAAGATTTGACAGTAATACCAGTGAGAAACTAATGTTCTCACTGATATCTTTATACCTTGCACAACAAAAATGTTGCTCAATAAAAAATTGCTTAAAAATGAGAAGGAAAATGTTCTACATCCTTGGTCATCAGGGAAACGCAAATGAAAACTACTTTCTGATTCCATCTTATACCTGTCTTATACTGGTGTAGGAGGTCCTTCTGTCTTTGTGTTGCTTTCGTTGGTTAATAAAGAAACTGCTTTGGGCCCTTGATAGGGCAGAATGTAGGTAGGTGGGGAAAATTAAACAGAATGCTGGGAGGAAGAAAGCAAAGTGAGAAGTGAGAGAAAACCACCATGGAGCCACCAGAGTTGGACATGCTGAGTCTTTCCTGGTAAGCCACTGACACGTGGTGATGTACAGATTAAAGGACATGGGTTAAATCAAGATGTGAGAGTTAGCCAACAAGAGGCTGGAGCTAATGGTCCAAGAAGTAATTTAATTAATACAGGTTTTGTGTGGTTATTTCAGGGCTAAGCAAACCAGGTAGCCCCTCTGTGCAACATTATACTTTACACAGAAGTATAAAATATCCTACATCTCAAATGGAAGAACAAAAAATTCCAAATATCCAATGCAATCTTGAGAAATTAGGATAATGCAGAAAATATCACCATGTCTAAATTTGAAATTACACTGCAGATTCATAGTAGCCAAAGCCACATGATACTTACACAGAGGAGACATAATATTTCAATGGGATACAATAAGAGATTTATAACTGAACCTGCATAGTTATCTCCACCATTATTTTTTTGAAAAAAATGCAGAAATCATACACTGAAGAAAAGAAATCCTGCAATAAAGAATGCTAAAAATTGACATCAATATGTGTAATACGATGTCTAGGTTAATATTCCTCACCACATACAAAAAGAAATTCAAAATGGACCAAAGACCTTGATGTTAAATCCCAACGTAGGAACTTTTAAAGGAAAGCAGGGCAAGTATTTCAAGACATGGTGTTGGGTAAGAACTTTTGGAAAAGAAGTCTCACAGATAAGAAAATTAAAGCAGGAAGTGACAAGTAGGATTGAATGAAATTTAAAAAGCTTCTGCCCGGCAAAGGATGCAATCAAGGGAAAACACAACCTAGAGAATGAGAGAAAACTCTGCCAGCTACATACCCATGAAAGGACTGAAACATGGAATGTATGAATAACTCACAAAACGGAACACTGAAAATATGTGACAACTCACTTAGTTAATTTAAAGGGCAAGTGAAGCAAACAGGCTGCTCTCAGAATAAAGAATATTTCTGTTGTTTGTGTGTCTATGGTTTCAGTGCTGACCATACTGATTCGGACAACCATCAAAAGGACTCGTTCTTGGGAGAGGCTAATTCTCCTTCTCCCAAGAGTCATTAGTTACCTGAAGTTCTCTGTCTATGGTAGGGACCTGTAGAAATTTTCTCCCTTTTATGTTAACATGTTCATTGTTGCTGCCATTGTTCCAATCTTATTTATGCATCCATCTCTTGGAGAGATGGTTCTACAACAGATATCCTGGTCATCTGGCTCTTTCATGCTTTCTACCCTCTCTTCCATCATGTTCCCTGAACCTCAGAAAGTTGTATTTATACATTTGTCTACACACACAACACCCCCCCACACACAAATACACACCCACATGTAACACACAGTCATGCAGAAAGTAAGGAAACAAAACAGAGCTAAAATTGAAATATATGTATACATATACATACATACATACATACATATATATATATATATATATATATATATATATATATATATATATATATATGACACAACACAGCTATACCACTTCTGAGCTGGACTCCAGAGATTCCAAGGTTGCACATCACAGAGATGTACACACATCAATGTTGCAACCCTATTCACAGTAGCAAAGTTATGAAACCAGCTTAAGTTTCAGCACGGACAACAAAGAAAATGTAGTTTAATACAAAATGGGACTTTTCAGCCTTAGAAGATAAAGTTATGTCATTTTCTTGAAAATAGACACAATTGGAGTTAATCATATTAGGGTAATTAAATAAATCTGAGAAAGACAGAATGTTTTCTCTCTTATGTAGACTCTAAATGCCATATGTGTGATCTCTTTCCCTCTCTCTCTCTCTTTCTCTCTCTCTCTTCCTCTCTCGCTTTCTCTGTCTGTCTGTCTCCCCTCCCCAAGTCCAAAACATAACCAACTAAATTCATATCTAGATCTATATAATGTTACTTGTATTTATGTAGGTTTTCAGGGATGACCATTTAGTATTGGGGAAGATTAATTCTGCTCTCAGCATTCATTAGCTGCCTGAAGTTCACATTGTAGGGTTGACCCCTTTTGGTTTTTCTCCACCTTGGCATGTCTCTTGCTGGTGCCCTTGTTCATCTTCTTTTTAGGTGGTCATATTTAGTGGTATAGTTTCTGATTTTGCCTGATACAATCTCACAACAGATTTCAGGATTGATTTACAAAAGTCCAGTCTTTTGATAAAAAAGCAATATACAGGTTCACCTTCAAAGGAACAGAAACAGTAAGATTATACAACACCTATTTTAAAACACTTCTAGAACTTTACTCTAAAATTATTTCTATCGTTTCTTAGTAGATGATTGGAACGAAAAGCCAAAGACAAACCATGTAAATTCTATTTTTTTAAACCTTCTCTCTGAAAGTTATTTTCTCACTTAGCTCTGAGAGAACAATGCCCCACAGGTGGAGGAAACCTTTAGCTGTACTTGTCCACTGTATAGCCAGACAAGAAGTGCAGAGGGTAATTTTTTAAAGAGTATTTTAAGAATCTCAGCCACTAGCTGGGCCATGGTGGAACATGCCTTTATTCCCAGAAGAGGCAGGCGGATCTCTTTGAGTTTAAGGTCAGCCTGCTCTACAAGAGCTAGTTCCTGGACAGGCTCCAAAGCTACAGAGAAACCCTGTCTCAAAAAAAAAAAAAAAAAAAAAAGAATCTCAGCCACCAGCTCACCATACTGACAATTGACATCTTCAACTATAATATCAAAGTTTAAGTCTTATAGCTTTGTCAAGAGTCTCTGCAGCACTGTCCAGAATATTCAAATATTCTGCAAAATCTCTTGGTTATTGTGACTAACAGTTCCCAGATCAACACTTTTATTACTCATGTAATCACTAACTGACTCAAACTCCTATTTCATCAAGTATACAGAGAATGTCTCAAATGTTAAGGAATTCAGTTTGCTGGGATCAGTAAGAACTGAATGCACCTCAGGATCTCTGTATAAGTTCATTCAGGATGTGTCAATAGCTATCCAATGACTGTATTCCGTGGTCACATCGGCACACTTACACAATTTCCTGAGGTAAGGTAAGATGTCCTGGCATCAGCAGAGGAACCAAGGTAAGTAAGCTTTGTGCAATGTAAGGTGCTTGGTTCAATGTAAGGAGTTCTTTTATATTTGCTATTCTTATGAACTCATGCTTTCACGCAACAATAAATCAATCAAGAAGTTAATGTGTAACTCCTCCACTTCAAAGTTCACTGTTAACAGGCACCATCGGATGGTGTGGATTGCAGTTGGTCAAACAGAACTTTGATGACCTCAAGGTCCTAAAACAATTTTGTATCTTTTTAAGTTATGTAAGACTATCTTCCAATCAAGAGGGAATGACTTTGCATTTATAGGTTATATATATGTTGTGTGTAATATTTTTGGAGTAGTATCAAAAATACTGTTCACAGGAACTTTGATGACCTCAAGGCTCTAAAACAATTCTGTATCTTTTTAAGTTATGTGAGACTATCTTCCAATCAAGAGGGAATGACTTTACATTTATAAGATACACACACACACACAAATATATATATTGTGTGTAGTATTTTTGGAGTAGTGTCAAAAATAGTGTTCACTGGAAGCCCTTATGTCTGGTATGTACTGCAATTAATAATGAAAATTCCTGACAGTGACCTCTGAAGTCTCCAAAAGATGGTGGGGCCCCACGATGATCCCACCTGAATTTTGGTAACATCACTAAGTTGGCAAACATCATCCAAAGGTCATCTTTGGACTACAAACTGTCAGAACAGGTAGTTAAGATGGTCCAGCCTATTAGGATACTCCAACCAGGACTGCAGATAGCCTTGCTCTTGGCGGTGGCTGCTCGTTTGTTCCTGGCTGCCCAGATCCAAAATAATCACACAGGATCTATAATAATTTCAATACTATTTGGTCAATATCTTAAGTGTATTTCTATCTAATTCTTACATCCAAAATTAACCAAATTCTATTATTTTATATTTCACTACAAGGCCTGAGTTCACATGTACTTACAAACCGTTCACATGCACTTACAAACCCAAACACCTAAATTAAACTAAAATAAATCTTAAGGGAAAAGAATGAAGATTATAGCAGGAAATATTAATTTTCTACGTTGCTGATCTTCAACTTCCACAGCCCCCAATAGTCAGCTAAGTGGCCCCGAATTGTCAGTAAACAGATTCAAGGGATTGATAGCACCTACTTTAGGCCCATCTTCATCCACGAGTTGTACTCTCACTCGTTTGTTTTGATGATTTTCTAGTCACAATCACCCATCATGTTTTTAAAAAATATTGTGATTCACCATGTTTATGTACATTTTGATATCACATCATTACTTTTGCAAACTGCACGTAGCTATGATTGACTTTTGACTCATAAATTTTGCTGTTTATACCTAGAATTGTTAGTTAGTTAATATCTTTTTATGTCATTGATTGATTCAATTCCTTCATTGGTCAGTTTCTCTGAGTCACATCTATTATGTTTTTCTCTGAACTGGGACATTAGCACAAACTATCCACAAGAGGTCGGTGTGGCCTCTGAAAAAGAAAAGACTGCCTCATAAACTTAAAAGATGGCTGGCTAATCAACAGGGTCCCTCTTTGCATCTCTGGTTGGCCTGGAACTCACTGTGTAGGCCAGGTTGTCCTCAAATTCACAGAGAAGCTACTTCTGCCTCCCAATGCTGGTATTAAAGGAATGTACCACCACCTGCCTAACCGCAAAATAAGAAAAGTAAAAGACCTATGTATAACAACCACTGAAGTAAGAGACTCAGGTTATCTGAATCCTTTCCTCTACTTTTGTAGTCAGAAACCAATATAAAATATTTGCTTCTCTAATCTTAATCATTATAACCTAATAAAAATCTTGTATTGAAATTTACAATTTGCCCTATTTGGTTCATTATGGCAATTTTCTAAGGTTAATTTGAAACCCAATTTGAAGCAAATTGAAACATAGATTTCAATTGTGTTGATTGTTTATTTTTTTTTTAAAAAATGTGTATCTCCATGCCTTACAGCAGCTCTTTTTTTGGTGGACATAGTCCTTTGTAGGATGGAAGTTTCTGTCCCCCCCAGTCCCATAGCTGTTCAGTCCCAAATAAATACACAGAGACTTATATTAATTACAAACTGTTTGGTCTATTATTCGGGTTTTTTATTAACTACCTCTTACAACTTAAATTAGCCCATCATTCTTATCTGTGTTTAGCTTGGTACCTTTTCCCAGTAATGCATTCTCATCTTGCTTCCTCTGCATCTGACTGATGATTACATCTCAGCCTCTCCTCTTCCCCGAATTCTCCTGGTCTGGTTGGCTCACCTATACTTCCTGCCGGACTATTGGCCAATCAGTGTGCTATTAGAACAATATGAGTGATAAATCTTTACAACGTACAAGAGCATTAGCCAACAGGAGTAGCCAGAAGAGATGGGTTCTTGGGATTACCATTACCATTCTACTTATGCTGATTGTGAAACAAAGTACAATATGAAGCTGAGTTTGAGTTATTACCCGTCAGGCATCAGCGGTAGTGATTTGGCCTCTACTGAAGTTTCCTGGTAATAATATTTTTTCTTGGCTTTGAAAAAGTAAATGTTGGGCAGGCTACAAATTCACAGAGAAGTTAAAGTGGTGAGTGACCACCCACTAGGTGGGATACCCCACTCTCTAGACCCTCCACACCATGGCAAAACCCTGGTCCCCTTCCTCTTCTGCATCAGTTCCTCTAGCCATACAGCAGGCAATATTTTTTGCAGCTAGCCTCTACAGTACTCCATCCCATCAATCAACTCATCAGTCAGATCCTTTAAGATACAAATCCCACTCTGCCACCAAGCTTTCACATCCCCCTCCACTGAAGAGAAACTCTGAAACACAGGCTGCAGATTCACAGAGAGGACCAAGAGGTAGGCTGCTCCAACACCCCCACTCCATTGATCAAACCCCGCAAGCTACAAGGCCCACTCCACACTCAAACTTCTTATATGAAGGTGCTCCTAATAAGGTCTCCTAATAACGAGTGTGACGTAGTCCAACCTGGCCATCCCTTGTCACCAAAGGAAGCTTACTGTATTCGAACTGAGTTGCATTAAATTGAGTTTTTGGAAGAAGGGGGGGTGCGATCCCTTAAAATTGCCCAAACAACCCAGAACATTGCTAAGACAATGTTCTGTTCTCTGCAAACTGACTGCCTGGCTCCATTGGGGAGGACAACTAACAACTCCTTGAAACAGAGTAGTCAAGACAGTGCTTACATGGAGCATTGTAATGGCTTTGGTATGGGAAAATACTATGCATGATGCCAAAAGAGAAACATAAATTCTAACATAGCCACAAAACCTTTGACCTGCAATCTGTCCTTCCTGCATGATAGGCCAGGGCAATGGTGGCACATAACCTGCAGGAGCAGTCACCAATGTTTTATTTAACTGAAGGTCTGATGCAATATTAATAAAAGCCCAGGGTCAGAAATTGGGGTTCAACCTGAAGATCCAAAGAGCAAAACAGCCAGCCACTTGATCTTACCTTGACCTCAGCCTGAAATTGTGATCCTGCATCCAGGAATCTCAGAATGAAAGTGTGTCTGAGATCTGTCTTCCCCTGTTTTATATTCCTCTATAGGGCTGTGATTAAAGGTGTGTACCACTGGGATTAAAGTTATGCACTTCCAATTTCTATGGCAACTAGTGTGGCTACTAGGATTAAAGATGCAAGTCACTGAGGCTACTGGGGTTAAAGCTATTACCATAACTTAGTCTGTAAGGCTGAACTGTGGGACTATTTTACTCTCTGATCTTCAGGCAGTCTTTATTTACTGCTGGGATCAGTAAGAACTGATTGTACCTCAGGATCTCTGTAAAAGTTCATTCAGGATATGTCAATAGCGATCCGATGATTGTATTCCGTGGTCACATTGGCACACTTACACAATTTCCTGAGTTAAGGCAAGATGTCCTGGCATCAGCAGAGGAACCAAGGTAAGTAAGCTTTGTGCAATGCAAGGTGCTTGGTGCAATGTAAGGATTTCTTTTACATTTGTAATTCCTATGAACTCATGCTTTCATGCAACAATAAATCAATCAAGAAGTTAATGTGTAACTCCTCCACAACAAAGTCCACTGTTAACAGGCACCATCTGATGGTGCGGAATGCAGTTGGAAAAACAGAACTCTGTTGACCTCAAGGTTCTAAAACAATTTTGTATCTTTTTAAGTTATGCAAGACTATCTTCCAATCAAGACGGAATGACTTTGCATTTATAGGATATATATATATATGTGTGTGTGTGTGTGTATTGTGTGTAGTATTTTTGGAGTAGTGTCAAAAATAGTGTTCACTGGAAGCCCTTCTGTCTGGTATGTACTGCATATAGCTATGTAAAATATAAATGCAGATAAATAATATTAATTAGCTGTTATTGCGTAACTGCATATTTAAAAACTTTGATGTTGAAAAGACACATATGTTAATACACATGAATTTAAACTGATAATTCTGTGCTTCTTGTTTACTGGATTGTAAAAAGAAAGGTCCTTTAATTGAGCAGCTTTTTTTGCCAGGAAGTGGATGGTGGCAGTTGTGTTGGGGTCACATGCACTTATCTCAAGTATTTTTCTTTAATATTCCTAATTTTATTTTATAATACACTGTAAAGAATTCACTCTATCTGGTACACTTGAAGGGCGCTATTAAACCCCACAAAGGCAGTGGATTCTGTCATGCTACATACTGTGGCAGCCACTTTGGTTGTAGTGGACAGCATAGTCAATCTTCCACCACTCCTTCCTTGCCTGCTTTCCAGCATTCGGGGTTTTTTCTCCCTTGAGGCCCTCCCAGGCACAAACTCCCAGGTCTGTTCCATTCATGCATGTGTCCGCCGCTACAAGCACCATGGCAGAAGCTAGTCCAGCTGCCTTTGCCAAAGCCCTCTTCTGTGTCTCCCACGGATCATCACCGCCAAGGCCTGAGAGCATTCACTCCTAACAAGCTGAGCTGGAGCTGTTCATTTGTCTTGCACCTGAATTTCTCAGTTTCTACTCTCCGCCTGACTTGGAGCAGCACCTGCTCCTCCTGCTGGCTGAGCACCGTCACTACATCTGATTATCTTTGCACAACCCTGTCCTTTCAAACATTGGAGTCAGAGCTGGTAAGACACTTGGTAATTTCTAAACTGTAAACGAACAAACAAACAAAAATAAATAGAAAGACAAGAAAAAAAGGGGGGCAATCTTAAAATTTTCTCCGTGTTAAATAATTAACACACCCCAACCCAGGAATTTAGGACCCTGCTTACTGTTACTATTGACGGGATGAATGAGGGGATAATAAACTTAACTGGGATTGACTTAATGTTGGTCATAATTATTATCAGTTTGATTATTCATATTTTATCCTTAAAATGATTTGATAACTGTGCCAAATACGAGTAAATGACATAAAAGTTACAAACTTTAGAAAAACTTACTATTCATAAGATACAAGCCTTAGTAAAGGTTACAAATAATAGTATACAAGCCTTATAAATACTTAACAATGAAAATAATAAAATTAAAATGCAGACTTTAGAAATACTAACTAATGAAAATAATAAACGTTTTACTGATAAAAAACAAGCCTTGGAAAAACTTACTAATAAAAATATTCAGACACAGACATAGAAATTTGGAGCAGAACTTGCCTCACCATTGCATTATGAAATTGAAGAAGAGTACAATAAAGGAACTTCTGGAGGCATTACTATCCCTGACTTCAAACTCTATTACAGAGCTACAGTATTGAAAACAGCTTGGTATTGGCATAAGAACAGAGAAGTCGACCTATGGAATCGAATAGAAGACCCAGATACTAACCCTCAAACCTATGAACACCTAATTTTTGACAAGGGAGCTAAAGGTATACAATGGAAGAAGGAAAGCGTCT